TCTAAAAATTGGTTGAGTCGAGAAAGATCGATGATTGGACACCAATCTCCTGTTTTCTTGGGTACAATGGATAAATGGGAATAAAATCACAGAAGAACAGGTCGACCCTCTCTACTGCCCTTTTGATTAACAACTCTCTTATGGCCTGGGAACGAAGCTCACTCACTGTGGATCTGTTGGAGGTGAAAAGGCAACAGGGTGTGCAGATAATGGTGGAGGTGATGTAAATTGAATGACCAACCCTGAAGTACCCAAGGATCCCTAGTGAAAGAGCTCCAGATGTCCAGAAAGTGATGTAATTATGCTTCCACTGCTCCCCTGCCCAAGGGATAGTCACCGATGCAATTGTGGATGGTCTGCCAGAGCTGAAGATCCTCGAGAATACAGACAGACTCTATTATGGGAACCAATAGACCTGGGAACCAAAGGAGGAGGTTGGGAAACACTATACGCCAACACACCCAAATTAGTGCCAGAAAGGCGAGAAGCTATTGATGATAAAGAAGAATGTGAACAAACTGAATCACTTCATGATTCCAACATCTCTGGAGCTCCAGCAAATAATATGGGATGGAGAAAAGAAGCTTCCGGTAACTCTCTGAGGGAAGAAGATGGTAAATGAACATTTTCTAACAAAGTATCTCTACCCAATAAATCCCAACAACAAACCAGACAGGCAACCAAAGAAAGAACAGAAGAAGACAATCTGACAATCCCCAACTCATCCTCAAATTGCTGATGGGAATGTTGATAGGCTTCCGACAAAAGTGGATTGAAGATAAATGCCTCAGGACAGTCATGAGAGTAAGACGAATCTGAGAAAATTGTGATTTGTTTAATATGATCAAAGGTTCCAATCTAGACCCTCACAGGCCCAAAAGGGGGTCCATTAAGAATCCAAATATACCTTCTCGTGTGGGACAAAGCATAGCTATCCCATCACTTAACTGCATGGCAAATTTCCCAGCATGAACAACAATATCAGGAGGAGGAGGAAAACCCAAGTAGGTATTTGCCATCCTTTCTGTCAATAAAGAAGAAGTAGAGTCAAATGCAATATGAGAGACCCCAAAACCTCACAAACCCAAGTAACCAACTGAAGGGACTGGATGTGACTGATCGAAAAGATCCTCTGTAGAGGCCAACCTAGTAAAAGAAGGAGCCAGAAAAAGTGAGTCTAAATTCTCCCTAGCTGGTCCCAAATCATTGGAAAACG